GAAAGCGAAGATTGCCACAGAAATCAAGAAGTCTGCGCGGCGAGACATATCATGTTGGCCCCAGAAGCTCGCTGCAGAGGGAACATGGGCGTCGCTTCGCCGCCTGGGAACAGGGAGGCGCACCCGACAGACTCGATTTCAGCGCCACTCCGGGAAGCAGTCAGCACTGATGAACGAGCAAGGGCCTTCGCAACTTCCTGGAGCAGATGCAGTGGAAAGTTCGACGCGTCACGGTCTTGCCAGAGTCTTCGGAAGGAGCCCAGCAACAGCTACAAAAGACAGAGGCCGATTTCACGCAAAAAGAACAGCGAAGGGCCATTGCTGGCATGTCACCCGGCAAGAGTGCGAAAGAGAACGACATCCCCATCGAGATCTACAAAGTTCTGGCTTCTGCGGTGGGCAAGTGCCTACAACCTCTCCTGGGCGTCATGAGCGAGCGCTTGGCTTCGGAAGCGCTTCCAGACGACTGGTTGGCAGCGCGAGTATCAATGATATTCAAGCAGAGCGACCAGTCGTGCATGGACAACTACAGACCGATCTGCTTAACCTCAGTTGCTTACCGGTTGTTCGCGAGCGTGCTGAAGCAACGTTTCTTGGACGCTGGGCTTGACAGCCGCATTTGGCCATCACGATACGGAGTTCGTTCCAATCGCTGCACGGAAGACGCCATCTTCATAGTCGGAAGGTATCTTGAGCTCGCACACGCTAAGCGCGATGGGTCAGCATCCGTCTTGGCACTGGATTGGCGCAAGGCCTTCGACAGCGTGCATGCAGAGCGGTTGATGCATGCCCTCTCGCGTTTTGGAATTACACCGAAGCGTGTGCGTATCATCCGATACATGATTTACAGGCGTTTTTTTCGTTGAAGACTCCGGTGTCAAATCGGATGAGTGGGCACAGCGATCTGGTGCATCGCGAAGTGCACATTGAGCCCGTCGCTGTTAATAACGCTGGTGTCTGCGCTGATGGAGGATGCGGTCGCCATGCTTCCCGGCCCCGCAGCAGAGGCATAACGACAGAAACGTTTGGCCGACACTGCTTTCGCGGATGACACGCTGCTCTTAGGCGCAGCGGCAGCGCACGCGCAGCAGATCGCGGAGGCTGTGGCGCGGGCTGGCAGCGCAGACGGCCTCGAGTTGCACTTCGACAAGTTCCAACTGCTCCAGGCCAACGCGTACAAGCCAGTGTGCTTCCAGAGGAAGACCATACCGAGTGAGGACAGCATTGTCTATCTTGGACCTTCGTTGTCAGCTGATGGTAGAATGAACCAAGAGCGATGCCACCCGATTGGAATGGCAGCAGCAGGCTTCCGCGTCCTCCGGCAAGTCTGGAATCAATCGTCTTCGCCGCTCAAACAGCGTCTTCTGGTATATCAGTCACTGGTCGAGTCCAAGTTGCTGTACGCACTACCGGCGGGCTGCTTCACAAACGCGGACTTTCGCCGACTCGATGGATTTCAAGCCACATGCCTGAGACGAGTCCCCAGTAGAAAGCCATCATTCACTTCGAGGGTATCCAATGCTACTGTCTTGCAGCGCCCAGGCTTTGAGGCCGCTTCTGTGCAGGTCCGACGCAGGCAGTCCGTTTTATCAGGTCGTGTCTTACGCCAGCCAGACAGCTCAGACATGCGAGCGGTCACGTTCCAGCCTGGCCTCCCCTTGTGCCCCGCCACCGACAGGTACGTCCGACGAACCGGGAAGCCAAGGAATGGATGGGTCCGAAGCGTGCTACCCGACGCAATCCGATTGACCGGAGGCAATTTCCGTCTACAACATGCCGTGACTAACGCCTCCAATTTGCACCAATCAGTGCGCCAAATAGATTTGCTTAGTTGATCAGCTGACGTTCGAGCCTAAGGGCTGCCACAGCTTACGGCACGAACGAACGAACGAACGAACTACCAGGTGGCGAACTCACATGCCAGCTATGCCCCAATCTACAGAAATTTCAGCACCGATCAACGCTGCAAGACCATTTTTGTCTAGACCTTCTACCCAGCACAGCTCACACCATCAGTCTCGACACCAATTTCAGCACTGAGGGTTGATCCCACGCGAAGCGGCACGACAACGACGTGGGTCGTGCGAGACACCAAGCCAATCAACGACGTGGCCAGCAGCACGGCCCACAGCGAGCGCACCAGGAAACCCCAGCGGACCACGAGTGGCAAGGGCGGCAAGGGAAGGGCGACGAGGCGGACAGGCCACAGGTGGAGATTGACGAAGCGGCAGGCGCAGCAGAGGGAGAGACGAAGGCCGTGGCAGGGCCAGTATCAGCATGATCCACACGCAAAAGGGGAGCAGACGAGCACCAGATCAAGACCGGCGTCAAACTGAAGAAGCTCCTCACCATGCTCATCGAACAAGTCGTTGCCAACAAGCAGCAACTGGCCATGGCCATGGCTACAGTCGACAGCGTCTCTACCCCATCCCATTGGAGAGCACAAGGATATCAAAGCACTCAGAGCCTACCACAGGATCTACGCCGACGAATGCACGGAGGCGGCAGGTGTCATACTGTCGGACCACCAGAGGGGCACCCTCTGGTCAAAGGACGTGGGCGCCAAAACCAGGCATCTCCTCACCGAGCACGGCAAGTACATCGATAAGGTGTCGGCATATCAAGTGCTGGCGAAACTCAGGCACATCAAAGGAACCAAATGCTACGACAACAAGCAAACGAAAACACGGCGAAACTCACCACCTTCATCGAGCCAGGCTCCCGGACGGACACGGAGACGGAGGAGGAACCCACGGCGGAAAAGATGCAGCAGGCGAACATCAGGGACACAATCCAACGCGCGCGGCAGCAGATCGGGTCCATCGTGAAGGAGGGGAAGGCTCCAGCTGGAGTCATGGAAGACGAGCTGGCAGGTTGGCTGGCAAGTTCATGACGAGAAGGTTTTCCGACTACGCCTTACGCCTCGGGTGACCAGTGAGGACGGGCCCAGCGGGGGCCGCGCGACCTTGTGGAGATGCCCCAGGATCTGGCGACGGCGGGGGCCCGCCCATATCCCACTGACTGATGTCACCCCCCGAAGCCGCTCTTATTCCTTTTGTTTTTCCTCACCTCCTCCTTCTCCTCCTCCTCTTCTTCCCTCCTCCTTTTCCTCCTACTCCTACTCCTCCGTCTCCTCCTTCTTCTCCCCCTCCTCCACCCCCCTCCTCCTCGTCCTCCTCCTCCTGTTCCTCCTCCTCCTCCTCCTCCTCCTCCGTTACATTTCCTTATACATAGCTCCTCCCAGTCGCACCCCGAGACCAGTCAGAAGGGCGTGCCGGGCGTTTCGCCTGAGACTTCAATGCCACTTGTGAACCTCAAGCTGAAAAACTGGCAACAACTTCACGGGTGGAGGGCGGGTCGTTTCAAAATGAAGCTCTCGCCTTAGCGCCGCTCACACTCGTTTCGAACAAGTGCACGAGCTTCGCGGGTTGAGAGAGGACCGTTTTCAAAATGTGGCTCGCGCTTTAGCGCCGCACATCTTCGTTTCAAAAATCTGCAACGGTTTTACGGGTTGAAGGCGGTTCGACTTCAAAATGTGACGCTCGCGTTATCGCAGCGCACATTCGTTTTAAACTGTATATGAGTTTCGCGGATTGAAAGCGGCTCGCGCCGCGCACATTCGTTTCAAACATCTGCAACCGTTTCACGGATTGGGGGCGGCTCATGTTCAACATGTGGTTCTCGCCCTATCGCCGCGCGCATTTGTTGCCAAACTTTGCACGAGTTTTTGCACGGCTCCTTTTACAACATGTGTCCCTCGCATTGGCGCCGCGCACATTCTTTGCAAAACTTCGTAAGAGTGTCATTGGCTCTCGTGGCTATCGTCAAAGAGATGGTATGTTGGAACGATTCAGCACTGTCCGGGCGCAACAGTTACGCTGATTCGCAGTGCCGAAGTCCCAATAAGGGTTTTCTGCCGCGGTCTAGGATCGTCAAGACGCAACAGTCAGGTTTGACTCGCGGCGTTACTCCTTAGAACGGTGTCTTGGCATGTTTCCGGATTTTCATAGAGTTGCCCCCTAACGGGGCACTTCCCTCAGTGGGAACGAATCCATGAAAGGGGGAGTTCGGAAAGAGGGTGTGTTCCAACATCCCTGGTGAGTCTTAGGGTTACACGGGTCCTCCTCTTCCTCCTCCTCCTCCACCTCGTCCTCCTCTCCCACTCCATCCTCCTCTGGCCCTCCCACTCCCCCCTCCCCCTCCTCCTCCTCCACCTCGTCCTCCTCGCCCTCCTCCTCCATTCCATCCTCCTCTTGCTCTCCCACTCCCCCCCCTCCTGCTCCTGCTCCTCCTCCTCCTCCTCCTCGTCCTCCTCTTCCTCCTCCTCCTCCTCGTCCTCCTCCTCCTCCCTGCCCCGAGGGTGGGGGCCTGGCACCTGTTCTCATGGTGTCAGCGCCACACACTCCTCGGGGCACACTGTCAGAGTCAATTGCGTGCGGCGGCTGGGGGCAGATAAACCGGCTTTCGTCGTTCCTGAACCAACCACGAAACACTTTGCCCGTGGCAGCGGCACGTCAGCTGCGCCCGTGAGCTGGAATTGGTACCAGGCACGGGGAACGCATTTGGTTGGGAGGCGGGGCCATGTGGTCCGTAAGTCCCTTGGGACCTTGTGTCCGCTAGCCCTGGGGTACAAACCCAGTTGCACATGCCATCCGATTCGGCAGGGGTGACGGTCGGGAAGTACTGCGCGGTGACGCGGTGAACCGTCTGTCCCCCTACGCACCACGCCGTCTCGGTTGGGCAGCGAGTCGCTGAGCGACGGCGATACGCATTTCCCCTGACCGTCGGTGCTGGCGCCTGCGGGCCCCTTCCTCCTGTCTGGGAGGCCGAAGGTGACGGTTGAACCTCGCTCGCCGTTCACTTCTTGGATCTATGACACTCATGACACTCCTCCTCGTCCTCCTCCTCCTCTTCCTCCTCCTCCTCCTCCTCTTTCTCCTCCTACTCCTCCTCCTCCCCCGTTTCCTTCTCCTGCTCCTCCCCCTCATCTGCACGAAGTCCAGGGACGGTGAAGCTGCCGCCTGAGGCGCAGCCTCCGACGAGGCGGCGTCCCTCGCGGCGAAGGCCGCGGCCGCGGCCGCTCGGCGCTGCAACTTCTGCTGCTGCGGCGGCCCGTGGAGCCCCGGCGGTGCAAGGCGTTCGCGCGCAGGGGCGCTCAGCGGCGCCTCCTGCGGGCCCCAGATGGGCGATTTCGGAAACCCTGAACCCAAACCACGTTTTCATCTCTTGGGGACACATTTTCAACTTCCGCTGCCTTCCGCCGAGCTTCCGTCGGCTTCCGCCGGCGGAGACGGCCTCGTTTCACTTCCGCCGACCTTCCCGCCGCCCTTCCGCCGTTTTCCTCCCCGAAAGAGATGAGAGCTCCTTCGATCCTCGAGGGCGAAGCCTTTGTTTTGGAATGCCTCAGATGAGGAGGCAACTCCTGGGAGGTGTTCGTTGGAATGATGAAGGGTGACTAAGCCCGACTACAAGGCAAGGTCACAGAATGAGGCCGCCTGGGACTCAGCCGGACTAGTCGGGATCAGGCGGGATTCAACGGGCTTGAGCCAGATAAAGCCGGATTAACACAGATTCAGCCAGCTATCCACAGGGAAACTCCCAGCGCCGATACAGAATGCAACCTCCAAGAAATTGCATCCTAGCTCAGAAAGATAGTCGAGGCCCAAATGCCAGGGTCCGCATGGCGTCGGTGCCTCCAGTCCGGCACGTCTCTCACAAGTTTCGTGGCCCCACAAGGGGTTTCCAGCTGGGGCCAAAATGCCAGGGTCCGCATGGCGTCAATGCTTCACGTGGGCACACCCCTCACACGTTTCGTTGCCCCATGGGGACGTGCGACAGCAGGCGCCAGGGTCCCAACCCCGCTGCCGCGAGGTAGGCAGCCAGCAGCTTGAACTCGCCGTGCAGACAGTGTGGGGGCGCTCAGCGGCGCCTCTGAGGCCCAAGAGGCTCGGGCTCGGGCTCGGGTCAATACTCGGGCGCGGGCTCGGCTCGGGCTCGGGCTCGGGCTCGAGCCTGCGCTCGGACTCAGGGTTCGGGCTCCAGTCGGCTCTGGGCTCGGGTTCTGGCTCCAGGCTCGGGTTCAGACTCGGGGACATGCTCGTACTGTGTGTGTGTGTGTGTGTGCGTGTGTGTGTGCGTGCGTGCGTGCGTGCGTGCGTGCGTGCGTGCGTGCGTGCGTGCGTGCGTGCGTGCGTGCGTGCGTGCGTGCGTGCGTGCGTGCGTGCGTGCGTGCGTGCGTGTGTGTGTGTGTGTGTGCGTGTGTGTGTGTGTGTGTTGAGAGTGTGTGTGCGTGTGTGTGCGTTGAGTGTGTTGTGTGTGTTGTGTGGTGTGTGGTGTATGCTATGTGTTGTGTGTTGTGTGGTGTGTGTTGTGTGCTGTGTGATGTGTGCTGTGTGCTGTGTGTTGTGTGCTGTGTGTTGTATGGTGTGTGTTGTGTGTTGTGTGTTGTGTGTTATGTGGTGTGTTGTTTGGTGTGTGTGTGTTGTGTTTGTGCGTGTGTGGATGAAAGAGTTCGTGTGTGCACCTTGGAGGCGCGCAGGAGCGCTCAGCGGCGCCCCCTTTTGTACGAGAACGGGACCCATGCACCGCACCATGGTTGGACTCTTTCTGGGGGGCCGAGCAATTATGCACCGCACCATTCCTGGATCGAGGATCGAGGACCCCTCGGGAGACGCCAACGCAACATGGTGCACACAAGTCGTCTGCGGGTTTCGGGCCCAGAAAGACATGCTAGTACTGTGCGGGTGGACTTTGGAGGCGCGCGACCGACCAAAAACATGTAGAGCAACGATCTTCTACGGTGAGGGCATTGGATAAGGAACTATTGGATAAGGTACCCAGGGTCTGGAAGTGGAACGCCAATAAAGGCTTGGTCATGGACTTCGCCGCCGCCCTCATCAGGTAAGGAACCCTGAAGGGCCTGAAGCCTGCCGCGCACATTCCTGAACGAACGCCCCCGCCGCAGTATACAGCCGCAGTATACAGGTACCCAGGCGGTGTGGCCAGAGAGCGCCAACCACTGAGCATATGCAGTAAAATGTCGGAGCGCGCAAATCGCCCATGCGGCGCCTCCTCTGCGACCAGTTCAAGATTCGAAGGCATCTTATAGTAGCAGCATGCGACAAGAAGTTCTGCTATGAGTCACGTGACCTCGACTCTACCATCGGGTCTGAGTGATCAGAGCAATGCCCGAATATCTGCCCGAGTGTGGCCGAGCTTGGCGCCCGAACGTTCCCGAATGCGCCCGAGTGTGACCCAACACCTTGGTTTCAAACCAACGCGATTTTCAATTTCGGTGAGTCACACTACGTCGCCGGCTCGTTCGATCACAAACCTTTTCGGCTGATAGGGGCCGGGTGCTATGATATCCGCCAGCCACCTTGGGGGCCAACAGGCTGCGTGGGCTAGGCTGTCCTGGTACCTGCGCCAGCTCGAGTTCCCAAACTAGACTGATAGATTTCTTTTGTCCAACACAGTTGTAGTGTAACATGTCCGCACGGGAGGGGGGCTCGAAAAGGAGTCGGCTACCACCCCAGGCTCACGCCCGTAGGATAGGAAATGTAAATTAATGAAGACTCGCGCTCCCTAGGCCACAACCCCTTGTAACTTACACCAGGTTCGCTCTCTCTCTCTCTCTCTATAGGCCACAGTCCCCTGCGAATTACTCCAGATCAATCCCTTGAAATTTACTACGAGTCTCTTAATAAGCGTCGGGGGGGCGTCACCCCCGCCGACAGCCCCACATCGACCCCCGTCGCGGGCAGCCGCCGCGCGCCGAAGGCGCTCCGACCCCCGTCGCGGCGCGACGGCGAGGCGAGGTTGACCCCCGTCGGGGGGGTATCCCCCCACGCTTCTTCAGAAACCCAGAGTACGCCAGACTCGCTTCCCACAAGCCACAATCCTTAGCAAGTCACGCCAGCTTCGCCCTCCACGAATCACAGTCCCTCCCCAATTACGCCATGCTCGCGCTCCCGAGGCCATAACCCATGGTAAATTACTACGCCTTGGCGGTTCCGAAGGCACAATCCCTTCTTAATCCAGGCTCGCGCTCACGAAAGCACAATCCCTAAGCAATTACACCAGGTTCGCGTTCCCGAGGCGACAATCCTCGTAAATTACAACAGGTCTGCGTCTTCGAAGAAACACCCTCTTGGATCTTAACACTTACGTACTGCGCTTGTGCGCTCCGGAGGCCACGAACCCACCCCACGGAGGCCGCCTCAAAGTGACATCCCTCGAGAGACAAACTGCCATTGTCTGTATTGGGAACGGTGTTCGGGAAGCGCCTTTTTGGGCTTCCCAATGATTCCTTGAGAAGTTGGCTCGGGGCTCGAGTCCACGACTTTTCGTAACTGGCGGGGGGCGCTCGCTACCGAGGCCTCGAACCCTAGTAAGTTAAAGTGGAAGCGCACTTCCGAGGCCACTAGGACACACGCACGCAACCAGCCAACCAGCCGGCGGCCCGAACCAATTGCCGACCCTCGAAAAAACACAAGCCAGTCAGCCCAGATGCCAGCCAGCCAACCGACATGAGAACCAAAATCAGCCTGCTAACCTGACGTGGCCGCGCGGGCAAGCTGATGGTGGGCCTGCGGCAGCGGGCTCACAGTAACCAGTAACCCCCCAGAAGCCAGTCTCAAGAGGCCTCCAATTCCTCCTCCTCTTCGTCCTCCTCCGCCTCCACGTCGTCTCCACGTCCTCATTCTCCTTCTCATCCTCGTTTTTGGGGGAACGCATAATCCAGTAGCTTGGCCAAACATTGGCCCAACCTTTGGCTGCATGGGTGTGCACATTGCAGGTAGCGGCGGTGGTTCCCCGCAGGCGTCTTCGACAACCCCGAATGTGCCTCCAGTGGGCAACACATCCGCCAATGACGGCCTCAAGGCTCCACAAAGCCTCCTCAACCTCCTGCGCCTCCTCCTCCTCCTCCTCCTCGTCATCCTCATCCTCATCCTCTCCCCCCCCATCCTCCCCATGTCCGTTCTCATTACGTGGTCTCGCCATCCCCCACACCCTGTCCTCCGACGTCGCCTCCTCCTGAACGAAACCTACAATCCCACGAACACGCTCCAGCCATCGTGCTACTATAAGAAACACATAATGAGGAACAAAGGGGCTTTTCTGGCAACGGCGGGCCTGGGCCACAAACAAGATCCACGACAGAAACCTAAGGAAGGGGCCCGAACACCTGAGACCCTCCTGAGCCCAAAGCGGTTCTCATTTCGGCGTCTGGACTGTATACGTATCCCAACCAAAAACGGGTTACCCTGAACTAGCGTTTCCTGTCGAGTTCCCTCGTCCTGCCTATGCGTTCCTACGCGCCCAAGCGCCCAACGGGCCCAGAACGGCCTGGACGGTCCGAGAGAAGAACAACTTCTCAGAACATAGCGCCGATGTGTTACAATAAAATGGTCTCAGCCAGAAATGTTCTGAGACAACCTCGCGCAAACCACAGAAGGCATTTAGAACCTTCTTCGGCTGGCCCCTAGGCAAGCCAGGAGGCCTCGCCACTGCTTGACTGTGGGCCCGCACCAGAGGTCACCCCAGCGAAAGGCTACTAACCGAGTGGTCGAAGACCATCCTCGGGCACGCGCCTACTCGGGTCGTGAGAAATCGCACCCAAAACCCCCAGACCCCATCTTTATGTGTAATTTCTCGAGCCGGATCAATCCGTGAGGGTCCCGGGGCCCGCAAGCAAGTGAAAACGCCCGCTGTGGCAAACATGCATCGCTTGGATCTCAAGGGATTGGGTGACCCCGGTTAGCGCTGACCCTTTCTTCGTGGGCCCGCCCATCTCTCATCTCTCAGGTAGGGGAACAAACAATGACACAAACGTAAAACTCGGAGGTCGGCGCGGATTCCTCGGATCGGCGCTTGGCCCCCTCCCTGGCGCGTTCAAAGGAGAGGACGGCAACTCAGAATCGATCCCTGGACTCTCCCGGGGTCAAAACGAACACGTTTTCCGCCTCGTCCAGCCGTGACGACGGCCCCCCCCCCCCCTTAGAGACCATTCGCGTTTGACTCAACTCGCCCTCCTTGGAGAGAACTGTCGCGCGCCGTGCGGGCTCCGAGCCAGGGAAAGGGGGGGGCAGGAGGGGGGCAGGGACGGACGGGCAGGAAGAGAGCATCAAGTGAAGGGGGGAGAGGGAGGGCAGAGAATCATGGGTGC